AGTCTCTCTTTGGTCCGGCTCTAAATTCCCTTGCGTTGGAGAGAGGAGGAATAAACACGAGGAACTTTTCTTGATATATTGGTGATCTTCGGGCGATACACAATTCCTCTGTACAAGGCACACAATTTATATGGTCCAAAAGATCCGGGAAACAGGGTCTCAGCCTCAGGGATACAACGTCGAGGAATCCTAATAAACCACTGAGGACCACAAAAGCGGACAGCAAGGATACGGGTACGAGCCGCACCACAAAACTGACAACCTCACAGGAGTGGACAACAAGGATACGGGTACGAGTCGTACCACAAAACTGACGACCTTACAGGAGTGGACAGCAAGGATGCTGTGTTGGATGACGCTGTGTTGGATGATGTTGTGTCGGATGATGTTGTGTCGGATGATGCTGTGTCGGATGATGTTGTGTCGGATGATGTTGTGTCNCTGATCAGAGTCCAGTTTTTGCAGCGCGTCAATCAATTCATCAGGTTCCAGGTTTTCTAGTGCGTCAATTATGTGATCAGAGTCCAGTTGTAGAAGTGCCTCAAATAACTGATGAGAGTCCAGTTTTTTTAGCGCGTTGATCAATTCAAAACGGTCCAGGTTAGCTAAAGCGTCATTTAAGTGATCAGAGTCTACTTAAGCTTGTTCTAGTGCCTCAATTAACTGATCAGAGTCCGGTTTTACTAGCGCGTCTAGCAATTCAAAACGGTACAGGTTAGCTATAGCGTCAATTAAGTGATCAGACTCCACTTGTTCTTGTGCCTCAATTAACTGATCAGAGTCCGGTTTTTCTAGCGGTTCTATCAAGACAAAACGGTACAGGTTAGCTAAAGCGTCAATAAAGTGGTCACCGTCCACTTGTTCTGGTGCCTCAATTAACTGATCAGAGTCCGGTTTTTCTAGCGCGTCTATCAAGTCAAAAGGTTACAGGTAATTAGCTAAAGCGTCAATTAAGTGATCGTCGTCCAGTTTCTCTAGAGCCTCAATTAACTGATCAGAGTACAGGTTTTCGAGCGCGTTGATCAATTGAAAAGGGTTCATCAGGTTAGCTAAAGCGTCAATTAAGTAATCAGAGTCTAGTTGTTCTAGTGCCTCAATTAACTACTGATCAGAGTACAGGTTTTGGAGCGCGGCGACCAATTTAAAATAGTCCAGGTCAGCTAAAGCGTCAATTAAGTGATCAGAGTCTAGTTGTTCTAGTGCCTCAATTAACTGATCAGAGTCCAGGTATCGGAGCGCGGCGACCAATTCAAAACGGTCCAGGTTAGCTAAAGCGTCAATTAACTGATCAGAGTCTAATTATTTGAGCACAATCTTCAGTTGATCAGAGTCTAGTTTTTTCAGCGCTGTTTTCAGTTGATTAAAGTCCAGTTGTTCCAGCACAGCATTCAACTGGTAAGAGTCTAGTAATTGTTCCAGCACAGAATTCAACCATGAGGAATCTAGTTATTATATCACGACCTTCAGTTGATCATTGTCCAGTTCTTCCAGTACGATTATCAGTTGATCAAAGTCCAGATGACCCAGCACGGTCTTCAGTTGACTAAAGTCCAGTTTCCCCAGCACAGCGTTCAACTGGTAATTAGAGCCCAATTGGTCCAGCACAGCCTTCAAACAGCAGGAGTCCAGTTGTTCCATCACGACCTTCAATTGATCAGTGTCCATGTATTCCAGCAGGATCTTAAACTGACATGGCTCCAGTTGTTCCAGCACGATATTCAGTTATTCAGAAAACATTAATTTCAGCACGATCTTCAGTTAATCAGATTTCAATTGCTCCAGCATGATATGCAGTTGATAGGAGTCCAGTTGTTTTAACACAACCTACAGTTAATCAGAGTCTAGTTTTTACAGCACGACCTTTAGTTGATCAGAACCCAGTGTTTCAAGCACAACCTCCAACTGACGAGAGTTCAGTTGTTCTAGCACGATATTCAGTTGATAAGAGTCTAGTTGTTTCAGCACAACCTTCAGTTAATCAGAGTATAGTTGTTACAGCACGACCTTTAGTAGAACAGAGTCCAGTTTAACCAGCACGATCTATTGTTGTTCAGAGTCCATTCTAACCAGCAATACCCTTAGTTTATCAGATTGTCGTTGTACCAGTACGACTTTCAGTTGATCAGAGCCTAGATGTTCCACTAAAACCTTTAGTCGATCAGAGCCCGGTCGCTCCAGCACAATCTCCCGTCGAAGATCCATTTTTTATCGCCACCTCCAAGCCATTGCAGCTCTGAGAGTCCAGTTGTTCCAACTTAGAACGTAGATTGAACGTTATTTTATGTTTCGATTCGTGTCGCGGTAAGACCTGCAGTAAGGTGACGCCTATTCTTTTTACAATAATTATTTTATTCCGTCTGCCGAAGAGATTACTTTGAATTTAGGTTGGACTGCTGCTGTATGATGATTGATATTGCTATTTTTTACTATACTTCAATTCGGGGCGTTTCAGTCAGCAAATTTCTTTCATGCATGCAGTTTATTCCTTCGCCTTCCGGATCGTGGTTTGCTGATCGAGTTGAACGCTTGGATGAGGCTTTGCTTAATTCGCTGGAGCAGCGGTTTGTTAAAATTTCAATCGAGGCGATTAATATGGAAGGTCGAAGTATCGTGGATACGACCGCGTTTAAAACTTTTAGGCTTATTATTTCTCGTACGACCTTCTGATTTTAAATAAGATTGAAGATTCCGGGCTAGGAGAAGGCAATTGATGAGGGTCGCAGTTCAATTGGGTTGCTGTGTTTGAAATCAGTTTTTGATCGGTTATGAAGCACTTATTTCCTTTACTTATGTTGATTGAAATTATTAGGGGAGCGTCTACCCCAAAAATTATCTCGGCTATTTTCAAACGGATCACTCTGAAACTTGGTACACATAAGTAAAATGGAAAAAAACTCGCATTTTGTTCCTGTAAATTTTTCGAAAAAAAATGAAAGAAATCGTGAAATTATTAGAAAACGGTCAAAAAGGGGGTACTTTTGAAATCTATCTCCTCCTAGGATTTTCAAGCTACAACATCGAGACACATATCATTCGATGCGTAAAGACCATATCTATAAAACTGCGTTGGCGTTTTTTGAAATTTTTATTTTTGTAGGTGTGTGACCATTTTTCGTAAATTTTTCGGAAATTTTTCGATTTTTTAGATTTTTCCCCACTTTTTACTGAATAAAATCCGAACTATAAAGAAAGTAGAAAAACGCAAACGCAACTTTGAAGTTCTTTTATTAGCAAATCGAATGATATATGTCTCATAAACTCTAGGAGGAGATAGGTTTTCCGTGACAATAAGTGTGAATGTTGAGGAGAGCGCGACAAAGTCCCGCGCGCACCACAATATGCGCTCAATGTAGCATAGATACCAAACTAAACGTTTCTGGAGCTTGAATCCACTCAAGGATGATGGGAGCAACTACATGCACATCTCTCCCTACAAAGCCCGGAGGCACACTGAGTCAGACCTCACAAAAACACTATATTTGTAGAGGTGGACAGCGAATTATCTCATATCTAATTACTGAAAGAACTCCCCCCCCGCCCCCCTTTTATGAAGTGTCGTGTACGTAAATTCGACGTACAGAGATGGTAGTGGTACCATTGGATAGACCAGAATGTCAGCTTTAAGATGAGACTAAACACGTAACTGCATCACAACTCAAGTAGACACTATATTTAAAGAGCTCAGCAGCTAATTAGTTCCTATCTAATTACTTAAAGAACTCCCCCACCCGCCCTCCTTTCATGAAATGTCATGAAATCATAAATCAACGTAGAGAGATGGCAGTGGTACCGTTGGATAGGGCAGAATGTCAGCTTTAAAATTAGTATATAAACCGAAAAAGTAAAAATTTTCCATTTTAGGGTAGACGCTCCCCTTAAATGTAGATCTTATAGTGATACTCGCATTGTATTCGTAAAATCTTAGTACGGCATTTATTGCGGATACGCGCTGGACAAACCCAGCCATACGTGTGTACCGAGCCCGCAGTAAACTTCATGTAACATTTCTTCTCTACTGGACTTAGAACACCCGAGTTTCTGATTGTTATAGTAATTATCGAAATGAAATTAGAATTAAAGGCCTGCTCCTACAAACACCCCAAGTATTGAATTGACCCCGGATTTGCGGCTTGATAGAAATTCAATGTTTTTGTGAATTGAATTCTCTCAATCAGAATGAGTACTCATTTGACATAGTAATAAGACTATATATAATATAGTATATAAGTCTATATCTTATTACTATTATAAGAATAAGAGTTATAAAAACTCATGTACTCACTTATTCACATTTTCGTCAGCAATGACTCGCAGAAACGCTTAATTTTAGATAGCGCGCATCTCTGAACTGAGAGCAATTTTGCCTGACGCTGGTAAATCGCGACCAAGTAATATTAATTGCTGAGATGTAAGTGTTATAATTATTGAGCAACAGAAAACGATTATTTGTAGATAATCAGAGTTGTTCAATCGATATCATCATATTATTAGAGTAATGTAAGCTAACTGATTTCACTAATTCTAGTCTCGACTTGGCCTTAATTCGGGATTATTTATAAATGATTTATTTAAGATAATGCGACTTAGTAAAAGACCGGCACCAGCACTGTACAGCTGCGTGGACATGTACAGCTGCATTGACATGTACAGCTGCAGTTGAAGTCTAGATGAATGTATTGCAGAATATCTCAGATGTTGAAGTCTAGATGAATGTATTGCAGAATATCTCAGATGTTGAAGTCTAGATGAAGGTGACAATTCACCAGCCTCGTGTTCGGTGTCATCGTACTGATAGTAGAGCGATGCGGAATGTGACCGTTAATTGCAACATAGAGCCTGATTTTTACCGAACACGTAGAATAAGTTTTTGGTGTCTTTTCCGACGAAACAAAGGTTTCCTTTGTCCGCAATGTTAAATTACAAAAATCACCATGTTCATCCATGCAATGTTTTAAAACCGTACTAATTAAGCCACCATGATGCTCCGAGAATCATAAAGTTCACACATAATCCACGAATTCTTCGCTGTAAATATTATAACAATGGACATTTTCCAAACCACTGGCTGTACATAAATAATGTGTTCCGTAACTGAGCATCATCACGTAATAATTTCAACATATATATGTACAGGATAAAGTTTTTCATTATTAGAAAGAAATTGTTCTAAAGGTAAATCATCACTTCATCTATACAAAGATCCTTAAATGTAGGATTTCAAGCTTCATACAAGCGTATGGTTCAACAGTATCATATCAACAAGTTCGGTGTTGGAGCCGCACAGCTTATAGGGTTGAATACCGCGTCAACGAGTGAGAGGGCGAACGAAGCTTCCTGTAGGATGCCTATGCTGGTCACATGTATAGACCTGTAGGACTGTGCTGCTGCAGCGGCGTGTGGAGACCTGACATCTGCTGTTGCTGCTGTTGCTGTTGGTGCTGCTGTTGATGTTGCTGCTGATGCTGATGTTGTGATTGTTGTGCTTGTTGCTGCTGCTGTTGCTGCTGATGCTGTTGATGTCTCAACAAGTGGTTCTCTCGAATGACTACTTCATTTTCTTTCCTGAGTGATTCGATCTCCCGCGCTCTTAGGCTCAACTGCTGGTTTATGGCACTTAGTTTTTCCTTCAGTTCGCCGTTCTCGATTTCTAGTTTTGATTTTTGCTCTTGTCTTTTGGTACGACAGCTTTGGGCGTAACCTCTATTTTTTAGAGTACGTCGCCTTTGCTTGACTTGGGTCTGCATGTCCTTGTTCATGCTGTGCAGGCGTTTGTTGAGGTCTCTGACGGAGAGACCAAGCAGTTCTTCGTCGCTGATCTCGTAGTGACTGGCGGTGAGTAGCTGACTTTGGTGGTCAGCGCTGCTTAGGTGGCTGGCAGTTTGTTGCGGCTGATGCTGATGATGAATAGCAGGTTGTTGCTGGTGATGATGAGGTGGTGGCTGGTGATGATGGTGATGGTGATGATGCTGTTTTATGGGGATCAATGGCATTTGTAACTGCGTTTGTCTTTGTTGGACAAGTTCCCATTTACGGTCGACGTAGAACGGCTGCTGGTCGATGGGGTCCGGGTAGAGCTGAGGGGGTCCATGACGGAGGTCCAGGGGTTCCAGGTACCTATTGTAGGAGGTGGTGGCTGCCCACATCTCCTCTACGATGGCTGTCGTCTGCTGGGGCACAAAAGGGGGTGACGGGGGCAGTGGAGCGCTGATGGGGCTAAAACCAGGAGGTGTATCTGGAGGAGTTCCAGGTCCTTGGGGGTGAATCTTGATTTGGTGAATTTGATGAGTGGTTGGCTGGAGATGATGGTTGTGAATAGGGTGAGCAGCAGGATGGTTGTTCATCCACGTGGTGTTGGTCATATGAGTTTGTACCACTGAAGCACCAGCTGCGGCAGCGCTGCGTGTGATCATTGGGGCTGAAGGACTGATGAAGGGAGACTCTTTACCACAGATGATGTCGTCCAGCGGCTCCATCATGAAGTTCATCTCGTAATCGTTAGACGGGATGATGGTGCCGGGGCCGTCCGCGGTGATGCTGTGGGGGGGCTGCATCGGGCACGCTCGCTCTGACGCCCCCGCCATCATGCCATGGGGGCACAGGTCCCCGCGATGCTGGTCGTCTCGTGCTTGGGGGGCTTCTAGTCGCGCGCGATAATTTGAAACGAACGAAACAATTTTTCTCGTCACCGTTTGTCCATTAAATTGTTTTAGCGTATCATTTTACAGATGCACACGTTTATTAATTATAAGTATGCATTAAGCAGCTATTTGTCAGATCTAGGAACTAGAGTTTTCTCCCTCAAAAATTTCACTTTTGATCACTTCACAGCGAATTTTTTGCCGTTATATTCAGTATAGTATTCGTTTGCATTTATTTACATGAAAACTGAAAATTTGTCCATTTTTTATAACTTGGCCACAAACGATCTGCTACACCTCAAAAAATATTTCAGTTCACGATAAAGGTTTTTCGATTGAATTCGAAAATATTATGTTCGGTACCTGGAATTTCATTGAGAACAAATGAGACGTGATCAGAAAAAAATGCGTTTAATACCATTCAAGCAAACAAAATGTGCTCATATTTTGCTTGGCAGCAAATGTTAATTGTCAAAAGCGTCAGTTGATGATTGATATATATAACTAGCATTTGATTATTTGCGTCTGCGACTAATATACAAATTACGTTGAGCTTCAGTTGAGCAAATGACTTATAATAATAATACAATATCAAATAATATAAAATGAAAAATGTATAGTCACATACTAGATAGTAAGCAAAAAATAAGAAAAATTGAAATGAACTTATTGGCAATAAGTGTGAAATTAATTAAGTTCTGAAAAATTTATGTTCCTGTATTTAGGAGCAGTCAACTTCACAAATTCTGGTTATGTTTTGGCGTTAAAAAATAAAACCGAGGACTGCGATAGGCAAAGAATCCTCACAAATCTCTCTTTTTCTTTGCAAATTTTCAGATAAAAAAAAAAGTTTCGACTCCGGGGAAAATTGAGAAGCAGGAAAAAAAATTAACATTTGGGGAAAATGTTAATTAACTTGTTAATAAAGTCACTTCACTTTATCATTTTCTCAGCAACGATTATCTATGAATAAATTCTGCAATTCGTTTACTTAATTTATTTGACTTGAAGCAATAAATAATTAACTGTTTCAATCAAATTTTAGAATTTACAATTGATTTTTTTTTCAAATGGATAGTATTCTTTTCAATTGGGAACAATGTAGGCACTTCACTAGTTTCCGCTCACATCAACATCCCACACCGCTTGATTGTGCTCATAATCACGCTAGATCACCAACACTCGATTGCAATAATTTAAACCAAATTTTAACTCTTATTTAGCCAGAGACTGCAATGAGCTGCATTGGGTGACAACCTCTGCATGTGGCAGCGGGACTTTCAGTGGCACCATTGGTGCCGCCCCAGCCCTTAGTGGCACCAGAGGGGCCGCCCAGATCTCAGTGGCACCGAGCAGGCGTCCTCCAGTCCGAGGTCCGTATGAGGTTAGACCGCCTCCCTCGCGCTCCGCTCTTTTCGGTCTAACAATCAATGCTCTCGCGCAGCACAAACTGCATTGAAGCTAATAGCCTTTTTTATACTATTCCGTACAATTGAAAAAACGTAAATTACCTAATAAAAAATAATTTTCTGAACAGGTTTTTTTATTAATAAATAATGGATTTTTCTCACATAAGGCAGTAGGCTTGAGGCTCCGGAACACGTCTCGTAGTCCCGGGACTGTGCGTGCTGAGGGCCGCGTTCCTATTGGCTGCCGCGCGCGACCTCCTCGCAGGGCTCAGCCAATCACGACGAAGAGGGCCCAGCCTCCACGTCTCCTATTTAGGCCACAATTGGAAAATAAGGCATTTTCAGATCGATTATATCAGTCTTTACGATGCCTCATCGATTTATTAAGCAGATCTTCTATCAGGTGGTAGGAAAAAATTTGAGCAATTCTTAAATTTCTTTAAACACATCACCGATCATTTAATTATAGTGAAAAGATATGAATGATGATATTGGTGCCCTGACGTAAACTTGAGGTTTGCTTTTGGTTCCCATACTGCAAGCATCTATAGGGCTCGTAGAACTTCTCTGATTTGCAACACTAACTAAATATTATCCTAAGATCAACAATGATTGATCATTGCCAAATAAAATTAATTTTTATGGATGATAGAAAGGTATCTTCGGTTAATATATTGCCAATAAATGCTAGCAAGTTGTGAGGATTGATATACGTGAAACATTTTTTGAAAAATAATTCTACGAGATTGCAATCCTTTTTAACCCTGCACTGAACCTGAAAGTAAACAAGTGAACAATTTCGCTCAAGAACACAAATGCAAACATCAAAATAAGTTTGAAAAATTTTCCAGTAAAGCCTAATTCACTCATATTGCGTTGGTATTATTGACTTGTATGTATGATACCATATGCATAAATTACGGCAGTCAAATTTAAAGAATTATGTATTTTATAATACCACTCATTTTATTTTAAAAGAAATTGAATTATGTATTTTATAATACAACTCACAGTTACTAAAGTAAAAATCATAGCTCAATTTTCTAAATTACATGATCATAAGCTCATAAGTACACAAAATATACCAATAGAATATTAAGTCGGTAAATGATATTCTTTGAACTGCGTGGCAAGAGCTATATACGCATCATCTAATTAAACTAACTGCTCTTTCTCTAGTAACTTTCTTAAACTAACAACTTTCTCTAGTAACTTTCTTAAACTAACAACTTTCTCTTAAACTAACAACTTTCTCTAGTAAGATGGCAAATCCTCAAAATATATAAAAACAATTCCGTAACAAATAAATCCTATGAGTTGCTACGGAAGTTCGAATCTTAAGGAAATCTTAAGATAACTATTTAAAGACGTAAGAATTTTGTATGTTCAGTTCAGCAATTATCGTTTTGATTAATGTAAGGATTTGATTTAGGATTTGAAGAATTTTTTGATTAATGCAAGGATTAATGCATTATCCCGTTTAATTTTGGTTCACACAATAATTTCAGTGTAAATAAATTACGCGCATTATAAGAACTATTTTTATATACACGTTAATTGAAGCATACAGTATACGTAACTATTAATTCAAACAATATATCAATGGTTCAAAACAAAATATTTTACATGGGTCCACCACAAATAAATAGACTTTATTATCATTTTCGAATGATCGCTGTTTCGATGAGATAAAAGATAAGTGCTTGCACGACACTGAAGGCAATCTGTGCAGATAACAGCCCTGCAATCAGTGCAGATAACAGCCCTGCAATCACTTATATAGCCTTGCAATCATCAGCACCACACACTTAATTTGTAATACATGGAAAACAATCACTTAAGAGTATCGATGATAACGTAAAACTATAAAGTGTTACTGCAGGGAAATATTCCTTCACTTCCACTTAATCGAAACAAGACTATGATTTGAATTTAAGTTCATATTTTTTCATTGATTGATAAATATTTATTTCACTATTGAATACATTTTGAAGGGAGTTATATAATGAATGTACTTGAAATTCCTAAGGGCGAGACCATATATTTGCTTCACTGCGCGGAAACATTTGTTTGTTATGAAGATAGCGCACAGAGTGTAGCTCTTGAGACCCTGGCACTCCTGTGTTGTGTTGTGGCACTCCATGTGCTGGCACTCCATGTGCTGGCACTCCTGTGTTGTGTTGTGGCACTCCATGTGCTGGCACTCCTGTGTCGTGTTGTGGCACTCCATGTTGCTGGCACTCCTGTGTTGTGTTGTGGCACTCCATGTGCTGGCACTCCTGTGCCGTGTTGTGGCACTCCATGTGCTGGCACTCTTGTGTTGTGTTGTGGCACTCCATGTGCTGGCACTCCTGTGTTGTGTTGTGGCACTCCATGTGCTGGCACTCCTGTGTTGTGT